TCCACGTTTCGCAAACAGGCTATTAGCAAACGTTACGTAACCTGAAATTTCTTTCCTCGGCTAGTTCGATCCGGTCTCCCGATATAAAATCATCTTCTTCCCTTTCGACTTTCTTCTTCCCACGCGCGCGCATCTGTCGTTTCTCTTACTTTCGCGAGCAGTTCGTTTCGCGAGAACCGCGAAGAAAATCGGAAAACGGGACACGAGGTTTCGGCTCGAACTCGCTCGCCGACGATTCGAAAGGAAAATCGAGAAGAATGGGTCTTGCACACCGTATACGTCCGGCACCGGGAACGGTACCGTCAAATAAATATTTGCCCGTTGCGCTGCAACGCGCCCTCTTCCGATACAAAGAGACGAAGAGAGAGGATAAAGTGATCCTCGACTTTGGAGCCCGGCACCCGCTATTTTTATGCAGGCTGCCTGACTTTTACAACAGGTTAGCGCGGTTTGCAGGCGTTCGCGGAAAAGAGCAGAGGAAACGAACGAGAGAAAATAAAGAAAAATAGCGGGAAAGAGCGGAGGAGAAGAGAAGAAAGTCGAAGAAAAGGGAACCGCGATGGTTGGTCCCGCTACCGGCGACCCAACGAATCGGGTTCTTTTTAAACGATTTCAGTGCTCAGCAAGATACAGGCTAAGAATATCTAGGCCCGGGGAAAGAATTTCTCCTCTCTTTGCGATAATGACATCGAAACCGGCGAGAAACGCGGACATAGAGGCGCGGAGAGAGAAAAGAGCAGAATGAATAGATTTAAAATTAGACCGCGATAAACGCATCTTTCTCCAGAGCGTGTCGGCTGCTCTATGCAAAACTGCTCTTGGCCGCGCTCAATAAACGCGACCTCGCTGGCTGCGAAAGAAACACGCGTGAAACATGTCGTGGTCGATGATCGTCGATCGCGCGCCCGCGCGGATCCTCGCGGTACGGTTTTACGACGATCGCATGGTTCGATTTTATTTTAATTTCAAATGTACCGTACGAAATTGAAGACACTTTCGGGGAGAAAAGAGACGAAAACAAACGTAGTCCGAGTGCGAAAGGTTAACACGTTCGATCGTATAATTTCCATTGTTTCGAGCGATTTCCTCTCGTTGATCTATAAAAATTGTGCATAACGGGCCAACGAATACTTTTGTCTACCGATTCGAAAACACCTCGGACGAAAGGTGACGATACGAAAGAACGAACTCGCGTGTTTCGACCAGCGAAACGAACGTCGAGTAGAAAACGTACGCACGCAGCAGACGCGCTCTGCCGTGTGCTCGCAGGGCCGCCTGGTTGTCGGAATAAAAAGACGTTAAACGAAGCGAGCAAAAGTGTCGAAGGAACAAAGAAGCTAGCTCGCGCGCGCTCTTCTAAGGCTGATCGCGCGACAAGTGGTCGTACGTTGTACTTTCTATCTGGGCACCCGATTGTTTTTTACGTAACCAGACCATTACGAATCGAAGACGATTAAAACGGTGGACCGAACCACGCGATTTACTGACGCGAATAAAATTTCACTTTATCGCTCGTTGTCGGACCGATAACGGCCTTTCTAAAATTGATCTACGAAACTTCTAGACTTTTGCTCCGTTTTTTCGATTACGCCCGATAATTATCGCCTTTACTACTACCACTACAGCTATCACCACCACCACCACCGTGGGTATATCACTATCGTTATTATCGTCGCGAGATCGTTTAGCACTCAAAATCAACGATACATGTAAATATCTAACCGAGAAACAAGAGTCGTGCAGTACGACGCGGTGAAGTCGTGTTCGAAAATCGAAGCCGTTGTCGACATTTAATTTTAACGCCGTACGTGTGCGTGAAAATGTAAAAGAGAGAGAATGATCGTTCGACGTTATTGTCGCTAACGAACAGGGAGTAGGTGGAAAGTTTCGCGAGACCGACGACCCTGCAACTATCTCGCGCGTTCAACGGGCTGAAACGTTGCCAAAATCATGGAGCCGCGACCGACTCGATTCGATCCGAAAAATATGTCCGTCGCGAGAAATTGTGCGCTCGTCCACGATTCGGATGCACACGATCCGGTGCGATGCTAGCCTTAGCGAGATAAAAAGTGCGAAAAAAACAAAGTGGGATAGAGGAATCGCTGCGAATGACCGATTAGAGGAGCGCGTATTTAGAATTACAATTTCAAGGGATGAAATTCTCGCGAGAGAAAAGAAAGAACGATGCGAGATATCGTTTTTAACGAATCGTCCAAACAACCCATCTATTTTTGCATCGAAACGCCGCAGCGACCTCTATGCTCCTCCGCTGCGTTTTGTTGTCTGCTCGGCGAAGATAAAGCGAGAGAGCAAGATGACTTTTCGAAAAAAAAAAAAAAATGAAAAAATAAATAAATGTATGAAGAAAAAAAGGAAAAAGTCGAGACAGAATACGACGGGCTAAGACTACGGGTCAAAGTCAACCTCGCGAAACCAGCCACGTATAATTTAATGTGTCTAATGATTCGCAGTGCGCCGCGAGAACGTGAGTGGCGTACCAAGGTCGTCGTATTTTTAGTTAGGCCAATGTTTAGTTCGCCACGTCCGTCGGAGATAGAGGGACCTTGAATTTCGCGGATAACATCTGCGGCCTTATCGACGGCCCCTGATAACTTTTTCAGTACTAACCTAGTATAAGCCAGTCGTTCAAATATTAATCGAGAAGGCGGAGAGAGGCCACACCTGAATTTACTTAATGACACGCTGTCAGAATGCATTTATTAAAAACCTCCTCCTTCTCGTTCCTTCTCCTTACGAATACGATCGTTGCGAAACGCGGCGGACGATCTATCGAACTTCGCGACGTAACTTTCCTCGACACGAAGGCAGAGACGTCGCGGCATCGTGAAAATTATCCGCCGTTTCCACGATCATCGTTACTTTATCTCGCAAACAACGAAGAAGAAAGAAAAAACGAAGCTATTTTTTTCATTCGGTCTATGCTTAAGATAGTCCCTTCTACTATGGAAACGAGAAGCTCGTGTTTTCTCGACAAAGTTCCCGCGTTCACCGTTATTAACCCTGTTTACCGTTCGAATCCTGTCCCCGCGTACGATACCCCGATACACGTACATCGCGAGGTAAATGTTGTCGGTCGATACAAATTGGGGGAGAGGGGAGGATAGAAAACAGAGATCGACAATAAGTCGAGAAGTATACAATAACGCGACCATAGGGTACGCACGTTGGGGTCAAATGTCGCTCGAATAACGTAAAAGAGCGTGACAAACTTAGTCGTCCTATCATATCCTCTTTCGTAATTGGGAACGAGCAGCAAGCTGCAAAAGTGTTCTCTCGTGACGAAGCGTTTCGCAATTATAGTTACGTACAATTACGGGTGTAACTGTAAGCTTTCGGATTAGTAGGTACGATAACGTCTGTAAAATACATATAATAAAAAGAAACGTGTATAATATATATATAGATAGATACGGTATATATAGATAAATATGTAACCAAAATACGTATGTATACATGTATATAGAAACAAGGTATAAATATATGTACATATATATTGATAAATATATATAATATTGTAAGCAATGTCATAATGCTGTCGTATCGGCGATATCGCGGCAGCGGCGTGTGTTCCGTTACCAAACGTTCATAATAATGAGACAACACTGATACAAAACTTGACGACGAATTGGACAATACGAGCACGGCACGTATATGATAAATAATAGTGTGAACGATCATCGATCGCCGATAAACGACACTTGACGCGAGACTCGCGATACTCGAGGAGAAAAAGCATTTTCGTACGACGGTATCGAATAGTATTTTCACTACTCGCACAAAGAGAACAGTCTGTCGCTGCATCGTTGATCGTCTCAACTTCTTCTGCGCTTTATCATTTCGTTTTTTTTTTTTTTAATTCAAGAGGGGACGGGGACATATTTCGTTGCATTTCTTTTTTTTTTGCTGGTTGTCGTTTACTTTGGTTTTTCATTAGCTATTATGTATGGTAGCGATTGCGGCGGATATTTTGTACAGTGATGCCAAACAATGATGGTATTCTTTTTTCTCATCGATATTCGGTGCCAATAAGAATCGCAGCGAATTCGACGACTGTACTGTTCGAGCGAATGTATCTGCTGCTCGGTGTTTCGCGAAGGGTGGAAAAGTGAGCTCTCCTTATTTTCGCGATTGTCCACGAATCGTATCGATCGCGAACGTGTTTTCGTTACGTTTCGGGAGAGGTACAAAGAGCAAACGTCGTAAACAATTTAAACAGATTTGTTGTCGTTCGTACCGAAAAATGATAAATAGTGTTACGTCTGAAAAAAGTCCGACCAGGTTTATCTGGTGCGCTGCCACGAAGTTTGAGGAAGAGAGCGAAGGGGAACCGAACCGATAACGATACACGAAACGGATAGGCCAGCAGATAAATTCCTTCTAACGTCGCGCGAATTCGTTGATAATCGCGCGGGCGAGAAAAAAAATACAAGTGAAGTTATGACATCATGAAATGCAAATGCAAGGCGATTCGTAAGTATGTACCGTATAAGATATGATGATATCAATGATTTTTGTAACGCATGCCAATTAGAAGAAGTTTTAATCGTCCAAGCAGACAGTAGTGCTCTTTCACCGCAACCAAATAAATATATATACATATAGATATATATATGTATGTATATATATATAAAAATCATTCTTGGAATTCGTGATTTGTTAGTGTTTGATATAACTGCACAAGTCTTGATTTTTTAGTTACTTTTTTTTTATTAGAGCGAACCGCTACACCGCAGACAATTGCGGCCACGATGTATCGACTGTCGGTGGAAAATAAACGGAACAGCATAGAGAAAATGGCCAGAGGAAAATTAAAAGAAATCGACGCGACGAGAGAATCTGCTCTGATCCGATTTACAGCGGTGATCGACGCGGGAGGAAGACGATCATAGGCAAAGGGAAAAAAAGCTCTCTCGGAGCGTTCTCTCGTCACACGACTCTAATGATTTTCCAGGACAGAGCTAATGGTAAAACGTTCTTACCTTGCGAAGTACCTGCCAAGTCCGGTGGTTGCAACCCGTGGCCCAATCCTGGAAATTTCACTATCGTCACACGTAGCAACGAACATTCTTTCGGTGTTAGAGATCGAACGGCGGCCTGTACGCAACATCGCAATTGCTCGATCGGAAGAATCGGGATCGTCTGGGTATCGGTACGCGAAATACCGGTACGATGAACGTATGAAAACGAAAATGAACGCCGAGCGAAACTTGGTGAACGCTCGGAATGAAATGAAACGAAACAATGGTCGAATGAACGAAAAAGAAAAGTAAATGGCATGAAACTCACGGATGACAAACAAAATTGGTCGATGCGTACAGGCCCATGGAAAACGTAATCCGTTTACGTACCTGACAATGGCGTGTGCTCCGAGGCGAGTGCTGCCATACTGAAATTAAAGCTTCCAGGCGTGGCTGGGAAAATTTTCGATTCCGGCAGAAAATTCGAGGTGGGTGTGTGCTCGGATTCGATCTCGTGCTCGTTACTGCTCGCGGAAGCCGGTGGTCGATCCGACGCCGCTGCTCCAGAGTCCGACGAGTCCTCGTTGTTGCCGCCGTTACCGCTGTTACCACCGGTCAACTCCAACGGCTCGCACTTGATCTGGTCTTCCAAAGGGCTGTTCTCCTCGTGCACGCCGTTACCCTCGACCTTGGTCGACAGATGGTTGTTTTTCACCATCGAGAAATCCGTGGGCGTCGCGTCGTTGTTGTTGAGCGGCGGCGACGGCACCCTCGGCTTCTTCGCCGATTCATCGTGAGGATCCGGCGTTCGTCTCTCGTTCCTGCGTATCTGTGCTCTGCGTAGAAGTTGTTGCACGGTGGTGGGCGTCGAAGTGACCGGCGTAGGGGGTGAACCACCCCGTGGGAAGCTTTCTTCCAATTTCTCGTGGAAGGGAAGATGATTGCCACCGGCGGCCAACGCGCGGACATGGGACAACTGGAAACAGAATGGAAAAGAAGAGGAAAGAAGCGATGGCAGAGATCGGAAATCCCTCCGGTTACAGATGGCGTTCTCTCTCTCGTAGTTTAACAGTATCGTAATTCGGCATCCGACAATTTAAGTACGTACGCGCATGCTCCCGCGAACAACGCGATTACGATTGCTCGCACTCTATTTGTAACGAACAGCCGGTTATCTTTGTTTGCTTGACCTATGACAATTATGGATCGAAATCAAGATGGATACACACATTGTGCAGCGAGATAAGGAGCTCTTTAGTTAAAAGTCATGTCTCTATCGCAGAGATAACATGCAAAGCGTAATCAATTCGCGAGGTACGATATTACGCGTACGCCCGATATTATGATGTATTCGACGAACCACGGAGAAAGAGGGAGACGCGAAGCAGGAGCAAAAGGAGCAACGGTTAAGAGGAGGAGACCGGAATGTCCTCTTACCTCGTCCCTGTCTGTTTGGTCCGTCTGTTGCGTAAGTCCCGACACCCTCAGGACTTCGGCGGTCTTCAAAAAACTGCTAAGGGAACGTTGATGCACGTTCACTTCCCCGTGATAGATGAACTCCACCAACGCGTGCAAGTCGCTGAACGCTACATCCTGAAGTACTATCACCGGGTGTTTACACGGTGTGCTCTGCAAAAGGGGATGCAAGAAAGAAAAGAGGAGACATTTTCTCGCATTAGTTAAACATTGACGCAGCACTCGATAGATCGAGTCGAAAACGATAAGGGTTGATACGAGAGAGGAGAATACGTACGCGTGTACGATGGGAGAAAAGAAAACGGGAACAAACGGAATAGAAAAATATAGAGGGTGCGGTGGAAACGAAAGGAGTTCATCTTACCTTGAGCAATTCTCTAAAGTAGGGACTGCAAGCGGAAAGTACGACGCGGTGCGCTTTGAGGCTTTTGCCATCGCAGGCCAGTGTGACATCCACGAAATCCTCATCGTCCCTCAAGTTTTCGAACGCAGACGTTATACTGCTTTGGTAATTATTCCATCGCAGACAAAAGTGTTGCGTATCTACCATCGTTATGTTTATTCACCTATAATCAGAGAGAAATAATGTACGCTATTTAAACCCGGCCAGCTTATCTTATCGTCGAATAAAACCGTTATGTTTCGCCCCGCGAATGAATCAAGGAACGCTTCGACGAATGATTCTAGGATCGACTCGCACGACAGGAATCGAAATCAGCCAGACGCTCAAAACTTTTTCGTTCAGATAAACTTTCCGATAAAATCTGAAACTCCGATAATTGTCGATAGCCTTCAATTTCGAATAAAAAAAGAGAAAATAAAAAATCACTGTTGCAACACGCATGCAACGTGACCGAACATCGGTGACCTCGACCTCCCCGCGTTATATTCGACGAAAAAAGGAAAAAAAGCAAAAGCGCGAAAAATCGTACGTTCGTTCAACGAGGATCACCAACTATATATGTATATATATATATCGACATCGCACGGCGATTTAATCGGCGTATTTACGGGTAGATGCGGCATTAGAACAGATGTTAATTTTCTTCACACTCTCGGAGAGCCACGAAAACTTATGTAACGCGCGAATTAATGCGGTGGTAATTCGCTTACGGGCGGGGAAAGGAGGTAAACTGGACCAAAAGCGTTGTACAACACACGTCGAGCGTTTTCGGCGATATACAGAATTACGACTGTTTGCCGGTACGCCTATCGAGACACTTACGCGAGAGCGCGATATTTTTACGCGGAGATTCGGGATACGAGAATTACAAAACGAAAGAAATAAAAAAATAGGAGAGCAATCGAACCGAACAACGTCGAGCGTAGACGAAGAATAAGAATCGAAAGAGTGCATATGATGGTGTAAAAATAGAAGCGAAGCGATGGATTACACTACTTTTTATTTGCACCATACAAGAAGAAAAAAATTAGGTCGGCAGACTGGAGCGAAGCCAGAACATACGATTAAATAATTCTCTCAGCCACTTATAAAAGCGCAAGCATTAAATGTATGCTGATAGTGTTATCTTAGCGAAATGATAAAAAAAGGAAAGATCTTAAAACAAATTTACAGTGCTCGTTGCTAGCGTTGTTTCGTAGTTGTGTGTGTCATGACAAAAGCTTCGATATATAATGGAATTAATGATCGTCGATTATTGTTCCTCCTTTTTCCTCTTGTTTTTCTTCCTTTTAGCTTCTATAACGCGTTATTACGATAAGAGACAGCACGGATACCCCGTCTACTATTTTATAAGGTTTCCGTTGATATCGTATCGTTGATTCCGTAGGTATTTTTGCGTCGGTCGACTCGTCGTCGCTTTAAAAAAATAGTTCGCGAAAGAAGCACGGATCATAGAACAATCCTGACACGATCATTGTACACGGTACGCGATCGCTGGTAATATTTTGGGTACGTAACGAACGATTATCGAGGCACGCGAGAAGGGGGGATCGAAAAAAGAGGAAAAGTTTTTTCGACGATACATCTTTTATCATAAACCGCGTAGCGATTCGAAAACTGTTTTCAGACTTTTTAAATTCGCTATCGCGTATTTCTAAATTTATGTGTGACGAATTCGCGATAAGTTTAACAATCTCGTGAAAATCCTGAGCAACGTTTTGATAATAGAAACTCGGTTTAGAACAACGTCAACGATTTAGAGAGTAACCGAGAAAGAAAGTTATTTACCGTAGACGTAGCTAAATATATTATCCGCGAGTGACGGCGGCTGTCGAAAAACCAAGTGCACCCGTGATTTTCCTTTTCCTTTCGTTCGTTGATTTTTCGATATCCCGCCGAGAACGACGGGTTCGTTAATATGGGCAAAAGTTGGAAAAGAAAAGAAGTAAAAAACTGTCGAACTGATCGCGCGGTGAGAACACACAGGAAATCGGCAACGACCGAAAGAAAGCGACTAACAACAGATCCGTCTCGTTATACGATACCTGTTTCTCGGCGATCGCGGCTAAACACGGCTGTTAAGGTTTTCGTATCTCTAAGGCACATTCACAACACTATCCAGAAAGGAATCACAGTTCGAAGAAAGTAGATGCGTTATCGCGAAAGCACACCTATCACTCGTCATGCCGCGTAAGCTAATGACCGAAACAATGAACCGAATTGAAACGCTCTGCGTTTTATCTGCACAACGCCACCTCGCAAAAAAGTGCGCACTTCACAAGTTCGCGAAAAAGTCCCCTACACTCGGCCAGTAGTGCAGCTTCGTACCGGAAAGTCATTCTCAACGGGCCGATCCGGATCGAGACGTCGGTTCTTCGTGCCCTCCTGCGACGATTCTCTCCCCGTTCGATCCTCCACGAATCCGTGTTATCGATCTATCGCCCCGAATCGAATCAAAACGAAATACGGTCACGTCGACGAAATGGTCGCGCGTCGAATGAACCGAGGAACGTGCAATTTCACCGGTCAACGATGCAGGAAGGAAACGAAAGAAGGAAGGAAGAAAGGAAGGAAAGGAGGAAGAAAAGACGGCGGAGAGGAGGAGTAAAAAGAGAGGAAAGTAGGCGAAGCGGAGCTACCGCGTGCGGTTTAGCGCGTGGCACCGCGCGTACACCGAGACGACAGAGGAAAGGAAAAAAATGTCGAAGGAAAGGGAGATAAGTGCGTCGTCGGTTTCCCGCTTTTCCGTGGACACACGGGCTCGCGACGTCGGTCGAGAGAGAATCGCGAAGATCACATGTCACGCGGCACCAACGGAGCAACGAGAAACGAATAAGACAGAGAGAGAGAGAGTATGAAAGAAACAGAGAGAGATAGAGAGAGAGAGGGAGAGAGAAGAACGAAGCAACGAACCAACGAACGAGGGAATCGCGTACGAGGGAGGAGACGAACGCGAGCTGTTCGTAAACCGGAAACGCACACGACGATCCTCGAAGGAGCACGTTGGAGCAGCAGTGTCCACCGGTGGCCTCTTTTCTCCGTCACATACCGTGCGAACTAACCCCCGAAACGTCACGTCACGACTGTGCAGCCGTGTGCCTTCGTCGACGCGGGCGTACGTCGTCGCGGCGCGGCAGCGAGGCCGCACGAAAACGTACGAAAAGCCGGCGATCGCCGCCGGTACGACGAACGAGAACGCGACCGACAGGAGCGAGAAAGAGCGACCGTCTGACGGAGAAAGACGCCGACAGAGACACGCATACACGCAGCCGGAGACGGTAGTAGAGACGAACACAAGCGAACGGACGGACGCGGACAGTGACACGGGTCGAGAGGAAGGAAGACGAGGGAGGAAAAAAGAGAGCGGGAGGACGGAGACGAGCAGCAGATTTCGCGGAGAAAACGTGGACGCGGAGGAATACGAAGGAGGACGCGAACCCTCGATGCCGAAGGAAACGTTCCGAAGCGAGGGAGAGCGGAGCCACGGAGAGAAGCGGAAGATCACGAGGGAGGTTTACCTTGCGGCACCTGTCGTGTCGGACACTTTGCTCACGTGCGCTTACGGTTCCTTCTGCTCCCTTGTTCGCGCGATTCAGAAGCGCATCCTTCGAGCGCAGGCTGCGCCGCTTTTACGCGCGCTCCCTCGCAGCCTATCATTCGAAAAGCAGGCGAGAAACGATCACGTACGCGGTCCGCGAGTCCGTTATCTCGCGGCGAAACCGAGCAACGACAGTTGCGGTCGCGCGCGTTGCCTAAAAACCAACCACGCACTCTTTTCTCTTTTTCTCTGTTCCTGTCTCGGTCGTACGCGTCGCGAAACACGCACGCACACATGCTCGCGCGCGCGCGGGCGCGCTCGTTCTCGCGTTCGATCTGCACGAGGACGAGAGGAGAGAAGAGGGTAGCCGCGAGAGGATAGGCCTCGAGGCAACCGAGACACGAGGGGAGAAGTCTGAGACTCTGGTTGGCGATACAACGCCCAAGCGGCATACGGTACGCTCGTCGTCGACACAGAAGCAAAGAAGTAAAGAGTGGGAGAGAAAAAAGATCGAAAAGGAAAGCGAGAAAGAAGGAGAGAAAGCGCGAGAGAGAGAGAGAGAGAAAGTTTCGCGTGTTTTAATTCGTCATCCTCTCTGTTCGTTTATTCGCGGTCGCGGCGTTCGCGTTCCCGCGAAATACGAAAACACCGGGGAGGGCAGACAACGCGCGGTCATCGGGCAGGGATCTCGATGCAACGCGCGGGAATTTCGAACCGGTCTCTCGCACGCACGACCCACCTAGCCACGTGTTTCTCTCTGTTCGGGATGCAAGCAGCCACCGTGACGCAAATTGTCGCGCGCTCCACTCCGGAATGCGAAGGCTCTCTCGCCGCTACTTTCCACCGAGAGACACCACCACCACCACCGCCACCACTACTATAACCACCAC